AAAAAAAAAAAAAAAAAAAAAAAACTAGCCAAAGTGGGGCCAATACAGACAAAATCATGCATGACGCACACACGAAGTTATTGTACGTACACACACAGGTGGAGCCAGAACAGGTTGCAGGGACAAGACGCCACCAAATGTGGGGTGGTGGGTGTACGTGTCATCCACTCCCCTGTGCTTTTGTTCTGCACATATGGTAGGATGAGTGGGCAGATGACCCCACACCGACGCATACTGGCACAGTCCGCTAGTGGCACCACCCTTTTTGGTTGCCCGAGCAATTGCGTACATACACCCTTTGCATAAACAGTTGCGTGCATGCCCATTTCCCCTTTTTTAAGAACGCTCTTTTTGTTTAAACGAAAAAACGAAAAATCGAAAAAATTGAGTTTAGCGTATTTTCCCATTTTGCCAACGTGCATGGGAGGAATCAATAGGTCGTGCAAGGCTGGAAGGTCAGACGGCACGATAACGGGAACGCAGGGGGGGGTTAACAAATTGTGGTTGCGTTCTCCCCGTGGGATGAGTCCCGCGTAACATATGTTTAAAAAAAAAATAAAATAAATAAATAGAGCAAAACAAAACAAAGCAACAAACATGCGGATATAGGTGCATAAGTGGGCGGAGAATATTCCTCGCTCATGGAAAACATTCCCCCTTCTGTGCAGCCCCCTTTTGTAATGCGAACTGCTTGTATAGGTCTATAATGGTGACGTTCATGGTCATGCTGAGGCACACCAGGGAGCAGCGATAGAGGTTTCCTTTGAAGAGGTTAAAAAATTTCCCGCTGCCCTCGCTCCACAGCTTTTTAATTCCCTGTTGAGGGGTGAGGTGATGTGGTAAATAAATATGCGTGTATAACTCTCGCATGCTTTTAGAAAGGCATATGCGAAGGTACAACACCTCCCGCTTGAGCAATCCAGGGAGCTCCTGCCCCCCTTTCTCATGTTTTTCTCTTACGTCAACGGAGCTGCTGTAGAAAAAGGGAGTCCTGTTCTTTTCCTGCAGTTGGTATCTGTTCCATTGGGATGGAAGAAAAGAAGCCAAATAAAGATACACATATTAAGTTGCACGACTAGGAACACTAACCCATCCGTGCAGGGTAACACAAATGAGGAGGGGAAAAACTGTGTAGTCTGCAAGAAACGTATCATCCCAGTGAAGCTGCTCTCCAAGTGCCCCTCCCCCTCAAAACAAAAAAAAAAAAAAA